GCCTGAGTCGTTATTTAGACAAAGTATGGGGCCAAAATCGAAAAAAATTTCATCATTCGGAAATTGATTTTTCGCGCGAGAACATCGACCGAAACTCAAACTTGGTCATTAAACAGTACACACATTTTAGTACTCAATAATGCTATTACCGTAATTTTTCCACGTATAGAGAGCGAGAAAAAAGATAGTTTGAAAGCAGACTCCGCCACTAGCCCCTCCCACATATGTCATTGTATACTACGAGCCTAGTACGATAAACACAAAATTTTACCTCTTTATGGACTCAAGGAATACCATGTTTAACATAAAAAGACCGAAAAGTGGCATTTTTGCATCTTGCAGTTTTATTTCTCAGTTTGAGTGCAGGAGGAAATCCACTAAATACAGTTTGGATACTACTATGTGTCTACTATACAATTAATTAAGTTGAAGGTCCGTAGGTTTTTTGGAGGAGATTTGCTTTTGAGGTAGCTGAAAAATTTTGATTTTTGTCTTCAAATTTAATCTGGACTGGACTTCGGCGGATCTTCAGTGGTTATTTTGTAGAGCTTGCTTCGCTATATCGTACGTCCTTAATTCTGAGAAAATGAAACCAGCTTGATATATCTAAAAAGGAGTTTGCTTCTGGGATAACCTAGTAGATTGCAAATTTTTGCGAGTGTAATTTTTTCAGCACAGCCTCTTAGTGCCGTTTGAGTGCTTACCTGAATTTAATTTTTGGTATCTTGAGAGAAACCCAACACGTGCTTGTGCTTGTGTTTGAAGACATTGCTAGAAAAACCTTTTTGGTGTTTCGAGCTACGATTTAGTCCAGTTTCAAAAAATGTTCGCGATTTAAATTGAAAGAATGGACAAGGTACAGATAAAGTGTAAGGAAAGGGAAAATGGAGAGTTGATAAGAGCGTTAGTACTGAGCACTGGTATCGTTTTTTCTTAAGGCACGGCATTATGGCATTAATCTCTTCAGGAAGATACATAGAGTCGAAAAATACGATAATTTAGAAGCTTTGCAACCGAAAAAGAAAACCTGCGGTGTTCCCAGTAACTGGTGATCAGATGATGTCTTTTTCGTTTAAGAACTGTTTGCTAAGGTGTTGTGTCTATTATGTTTTTTGAATGCCTTTTCGAGTACTAACATTATCAAAGGCAGTGTCCAGGCAAACTCAACATACGGGGGTCTGACGTGGAAGGCATTGGGGAGTCCTAACTAAAAAGAGAAGGATAGTTGGTCGAAGTGGCGTTTTCATGCAAAATGTGTACAATCTAGAGCATGGGACGCTGACTTTTAACCTGCTTTCGATATCTGCAAAGCGCCTCTCGGAGAGCAATTATGATTTTTTGGTGCAAAAATCTGAAAGCATCATTACAGTGGAATCATTCAGAACATTATCTGTGCTCGGATGAGGCCATGGACTACCAGGGCTGTTTTCATCTCTGTCAAATCATTGAATTTCCACCTTAAAAATCTCCCGTTCACCTCCCAAAAGCGCTTTGCAGATAAAATAAAATAGATTTTGATTGAGCGTTCCATGTGTAAATGTATACAATTCATATGGAAAGGCCACTTCGACCGAATACCTTTTTTTGCAAGAGACTGCCCAAGCGTTGCTGAGATGGTGCACTCGCGCCTGACGAGGAAATGGTCAAAAGTCGAAGTGGACAGTCCAAACGGGGTGCATACCACATGCAGCATAACAGCTGTTTGAATGTTTGCTCCTTATTTGCTAAATACTTTTGTGGGAGAAGCTATAAGCCATTGTAAGCCATTATATGATAAAAAAAATCGCGCGTGTAAGAGGCAAATTTGGCCGTAAAAAGCCATCTTTGGCCAATGATTGGCCAAAACATGCAGCTAGACTAATATGGCCCATACCCAAAGGTGAGCTATAAAGGCAAATGTGCTCAAATTCGCAATCGTAAGAATTTTTCGTAATGTTCATAACTTCGTCTATAGAGGGCTCAGCAGATATGGAAGACAGTTTTGAATTCAGCAAAAATGCCGCATCCAATCTATGCATCTTATCTGGATTGGCCACTTTCGATTGACCATTTTCTCGTCAGATATTCATTTCCAAACCATATCTGCGCATCGTATCAACGGACGACTTGCCTCAAACTCTCATCGTTGGAGTGGAACGCGCGATGGTATGCAAGATGCAAGTCGTCCGTTTGATATAGTCGTGGGGTCTAGTTTGGAGGCAAATATCTCAGTCGTGAAAGAATCGTTCGCGCTGCCGCTTGGGCAGAGTTATAGTTAGGACCCCAAAATTTCCTTCCATGTGATTTCCCGTAGTTCCGGATTTGCCTGGATGCGGCCGTTGATATTTATCACGTCTTGGTAGCTCTCAAGAAAAAGCGGTAAAAGTCGTAATTTATGACCAAGTGAGATTTACTGTGAATTAGTTCACTACAAAACACCTAAGTTCAATACGTAACGCCTGCCTTCAAAACATCAAATGACTCCATATCGGTACTTCTTCAAAGGGAAACATCAATGACAAAGGAAGACAACCAGTCTGGTCCATAATAAGTGTCTCAGTTCACATTAGATATGAGATAAAAGCCTTGTAAAGAGTGATGTCAGCAAATTTTGAGTGGTAGAACGGAGGGCTATCGGGTCAGGACCGAATACATCACCAAAATCTGCTGACGTCTGCAAGTTGTTTCCGGCGTACCAGAGGAGGAGAGCCTTATCAAATGTCTGATAAATGGTTCGTGACGGCATTAAAACTGCTGACATCAGTTTGTTCAGGGTGTTTCGAGGTCGCAGGCATTTTTTCACAATAAGGAATCGATGCCACGAACTTATTTGCATGCAAATCGTGATCGTTGGCTCAGCTGTCAACGATCATAAGAGGAAAGAGGACGGTCTGGTCGGCGCTACAGCCAAACTCGCTCTGTCCACTGCGAAATCTCCCAGTCGAGGTAGGAAAGACTAA